AAATTTGTTATTGAGAGAAAATTGAAGATGTGGAATTTTGCCAAGGTGGAGATTTGTTGAAGTTTGGCAAATTCTTTGTCCACATCGGTGGGCTTTTGAGTTTGGGGGGATTTTCCCCCTATAAAAGAAGGTCTAATGTTTAGGATTTAAACACACCTCTCATTTGCCTTCTCATCTTTCTAAGGAATTTGTATCTTCTCTCTTTAGTATTATTTCACTTGTATTTTTGGAGTGGAATAAAATATTGGTTGTGTCCGAGGAGTAGGCAAAGTTGGCCGAACCTCGTAAATTCTGGTGTTCCTTTTATTATTGCTTTATTGTCTTATTTATTATTTGGTGCCTGTCATAATTTTTGGTATAGTAATTGTGACTCATTCACACTATATACATTTGGCTTCCGCAACACCCTTGGGGTTGTTGGAGAGCAATGGTTGTGTATATTCAACACATTGTTCATTCAAGATGTTCTCAAGTGAAGAAGCCTGGAACTGTTTGAAGGATCGCTGGATTTTCTGGTGGGGTGATTCGAATCACTGTGATACAGTGAGAAACATCCTTAATTTCATTTTAGATGTGAATGATATGAAGGATGTCGCAAGAAGAGTTGATATGAACATTAGCAACCTGAGGAATCCATCACAAACAGTTCGATTTACTAACATTTAAAACGGGCATCCTAACGAGACAGGCAAGTATCGAGGCTTGAATTCGTTGGCAGATGCTGATTATAGAGAACTTCTGAAAGGGTACTTCTCTGGAAATGTTGTTCCAGACACTATAATCATGAATTCGGGCTTACACGACGGAGTGTATTGGTCTAGCCTTAGGCATTTCATTAAAGGCGCCGACTATGCTGCATCATTCTGGGCTGAAGTATTCAATGAGATAAGGCAGAGAGGGTTGACACTACCAGAAGTCATATATAGGACCACAGTCACCACAGGCGGATACGCTAGAAGATTGGCATTCAATCCAAATAAAATGGAGGCCTTCAATGGGGTAGTCTTGGATAAGTTGAGGGCATACGGTTTAGTTGATCGCGTAATTGATGATTTTGACATGACTTATCCGTGGCACTATGACAATCGATGCAATGACGGGGTGCATTATGGCCGTGCTCCTGCCAAGCTGAAGTGGAGGGATGGCCAGATTGGACACCAGTACTTTGTGGACCTCATGCTTGGTCATGTACTGCTCAATGCATTATGTGGACGATAGAAGGTGGCTAGTGGTGATGGTAAACGGCGCATTGTCTCTGGTTTCAAGCGTTTGGATGGTGCATTTCAAGCTGGGCTGATAGATTTTTGCGAGAGGAAAAAGGGGTGAGAGTAGGGTGAAAGAAGTTTGGTGCTATTTTTGATCTGTCTATCTGTAGTTTACTGTCATTATGTTTTCTGAAACTACTTCCACGTTGTAGTCATATCCAGGTCTAGTGCCAATACTAAAGGTTGTATAGGGGAATATTAAAGAATAGTGTTGTATATTATACTATTCATTTTTGAGCTTCTTGTAGTCCCATTTGCTTGGACTATTGTAGATCTGAGAATTACTATTACCATTTATTTCATTTACAAGCCAACTTGCTACATTAGTTTTTTGCAAGTAGATCACATTTTATTAAGTCAAAAGCTAGACGAAAAATATCTTGTGTGAAATAACAAGAGAACCTTCTCTAAGAGTGACATTCACTTTGAGAAATAAATAAATCAAAATCCCAATTCTTTTATCCCCTGCTTCATTGAAACTTGATGATTTCGGTTTAACTAATCTTGGGATTTGTTATATCACACCACTATATTACTTTTATATCACATTTAATATGAAACAACGATCACGAGGTTAGCTAATTCGAGGATAAATCAACCAGATGACCATGATATCAATCTCCAAAATCTTCTTTCCAGAATGTCAATCTCCAAAATTATTCTCTCTAAAGCTCTTTCTCTCAAAAGTACTTTAAGATGGTCAAAGTTAAAATTTAAAATAAAAGTTTATTTCAAACTTATCCACCGTAAAAAAAAAAACTAACACAACACTTTTGCTTAAGCATTGACTGCATTGTATTTGTAATAGAAAATTCATTAAATATGTATAATATATAATTGTGAACCCAATAACTAAGATAAGTTATCAATCCCGTGATAAATTCAGAACCCATAAATTTCAAATCCTGATTCAGCCTCCGTTTGTACACCATATATTCCAGTTTTAATCCTACAAACAAACATCTACCATAAAAAGTATATCCATTAAATAATAATAATAATAATAATAATAATAATCATTATTTAATCCTCGTAGTATAATCCCACATCATAATCCCAGTAAAACTTATTTGCAAACCAAACGATCCCTTAAATTTTTAATATAAGAACATATACAAATTTTTCTTTTTCTTTTACACCGAGAAACTATCCAAGCTAGAAACTAGACAAACAAATGTAGCAAACTAACAAATCAAAAGTACATGTCAAATATTTCTTTCCGGAATAAATATACATGACAGCACAACCTTGTACAATAAAAATGTTCAGATCCAAGAATCCACAAAATTACTCCAATAAAAGAAAGATAAATTTTCAATTCCCATTACTAATTTCCAATCTTGCGAAGAATCAATTCCAAAATTCATGACAAAAGAATGGAAAGAAATGATATGCTCTTCTAGCCTACCATTCGCTAGCTAAAGACAAATAATATTGTACTTTCCTCAATCTGCAGTGTACATGTAACTGATAGGATACATAGAAATAAAGAATGTAAAGGCAAAATAATTCATTCAAGTTGCAGGATCAACCCGTTTAGTTCCATGGATCATCCCACCCGCTCGGACCTTCTCGCTTGACGAAGCTCATTATGGCTTCAACAGCTTCAGCAACTCTGTTAGATAGAGAATGGTTCCCATGTTCAATTTCAACTTTTTCAGCACCACCCATTGCTCTACACAATCTGCACCAAGTTACAAAATGCGTTGACAAGAACTATGGTCCAGTAATCATGAGGATAAATGTATGAGAAAACACATAAAAAAGCATTACTGCACTGAGATCATCACAAACTGTATAAGGTTTTGTGCTTGCCTATCAACCAACGCTTTCTTGTCAACATAATCTGGAACGTACTCGTCACCCATGGAAAATATAACCTGCAGAGAATAGGTGAGAATCAGAACCTGCCATTTTGTCCTTGTAAGCAGATTGAAATTTCTAGGTCTAAGTGGAAAATGTCAAGAGGGACATTTTATCCAGGAAATTCACCATGAAATTCACCATGTCTGTTTCTTTCTTTTGCCATGTAACACTTAAAAAAGTAACATAAATTGCTCGGACCTAAACTAAAGTTTTTCTACATAGTAAACTAAAAGGAAAATTAGCTTTCGAGAATTGAAGGGACTTTGGTCTCAACCTGACAAGGAGTGTTAGACATGTGCCCCCGTCTTTGCTTCAGCTGGTCATCACTAAAGTCATAACTGAACAAGTCGTCCTCGCCATTGTATGTGCAAAGTGAGTGATCTGTCAAAAATATCATTATTAGGAAGGCAACCATGTGTAGAAAAGAGTAAGCAAAGACTTGAGATTCCAAACAGGAAATCCAACTTCTTGTTCAGACCTCTATCATATCTATGATGGCCTTCTTTTCTGGTATCGTATATGCCAGAGAATCCACTTATGCCTCAGTGGAAGAACTCCGCTAAAAGTTTCTGAAGGACCTCTTCATTGTGAGGCATTTTCCACGTCATCCTCAATATCTTGCCTTATTATAAAATTCCAGTTGAACGAATAGCAGGAAAAGGTGTCTTATTGCAATTAATTCACGGTTTTTATTTGATAATTATTGTCCATTATCATAACTTCGTAATTGTAATAAACTAACTTGGAGCATGCTTTTTAATGCATATAGAAGACCTCCTTTTTTCTTTTTTTCGTTTCCACTATGCTGTAACTATGCTTTTCCTGAGCCTAAGGTCTATCGGAAATCGCCTCTCTACCTCCACAAGGTAGGGATAAGGTCTGCGTACATACTACCTTCCGCAGACCCCACTCGTGAGATTACACTGGGTTTTTTGTTGTTGTTGTAGTTGACCTCCTTTAAATTAAGATTCAGTAGAAACCATGATCATGAAGTGGTAGAGTGCAGTATATGGGAAAGTAACTGGACTACATCATCGTCCTTACCTAAAGGCAGCAATTGGGGCATCTGGATTCACTACTAGAAATCCGGAAAAAAGCGACCAAAATTTAGCGACCAAAATTGGTCTGTGGGAA